CTTCCTAAGCTAGTATTTGGATGGCGATGGCGATGGCGGCTCCGGCTTCGATAGACGATGAAATGCGAAAAGGAACGGAATGACATACCGGAAATCATGTGCCAGGTCTCGTGCAGTGCTATGCTGGAGCTGCGCGCAGTGCTTGGATCGTCCAGCGTCAAGTGACTTCACGTGCTTTCGAGAAGAATAGCCTCGAATGGGCGTGATTTTGTGGGAATATCAAAGAACGGACCAGGCCAGGACCGCCGAATCAACACTTGGAATCGACGAGGCACGACGAGGCAAAACGCGAAGGAGGTTTCGGGGTTTACGACTTGTCGATGGTTGCGAGTTCACTCTCTTTTGATAAAAAAGAGCAAAGTGCATGCGCTTCACAAGAGAAATTAATAAGAGATGCACGGTCGAGGAGAGAGAGGTAGGAGAATTGAAGGTGGCATGCTCAGACCATATGACCCCCGGGACGCACGGTCCACATATTTTTGGTAGTCTCTCTTTGCAGCTTTGCAGGCCGTCCTTGGGATTTTTAGGCGTACCTTCTCTTAGGTTAGTAGGTGCAAGGGTTCTCTTCCCGTTCCTTCCCTTTAAAAAGATGGAGCCGACTCGACGCGGACACCGGAGACAGGACCTGACGTCCTAACTTCCTGACTTTTTTTTACTGATAAACTAGGTAATTTTCTTTTCCATGCCGCCATATCGAAAGCACCAACGTCGACTAGGAGTTCCTGGTTGCCGGCCAATCACTGCCACACCTACCCCCACACTCAGCAACACAGTACACCTGCCTACCTGCTACCCACGCGGACCACACCAGGTTCTGAGTCCCGCGTTTTCATCAAATCCATCATGCTACCTAATCTACTAAATAATGCTATACGCCGACTCGACACAAAACTGAAAGGAATGAGACAGAAAAAACGAAGGATCGGTGCATCGTTATAAACGTCGAGTTCGTATATAACATATGACAAATTTAACCCAGAAAATAATTTGTAGAGCATCTCCTGTTAGGTATTCCGTAGGATACACAGCGAAATGAGGGGCTGAAAGATTAAAGGTCTCAGGAAACCCCCTTTTACGATTTGACGGTTATTCTGGGTTGTCACGAGCCAGACAAGTCTCAGAGAGAGATTTCGATTAATCGACATTTTGATATTTATGACGGGAATGGATTTTCGACTGTATGCTGCATTGATCTCCAATGCCTGCATATAGGACTGATCTCCGGCTCGGCAAATGGATTTGTTTAACATGACGGCTGCATGCCTATACCATCCCCATCACATCTACATACCCCATATTCATATCCACATCCAAGTCGAAACCCATATCTCCTATCTCGCCCTGTTCAACCACAGGTATCCCACTCAGCAGGTCTAGACATACACACCTACACGCGTATACGAAGATAGATAAGTAGGTGAACAAGGATCAAGATATCGAGTCTTAGAACCATGGGTCAAGTGACCTTGCCAAGATACACCCGCTTCTCCTCCCCCCCTCTGTGAAAGCGGTTAGGACATATCCCCTGAGGCCCGGCGCTAGCCCAGCACTAACATAAGATATTTCTACTGGTTGACAAGGGCAATTGAGCCAATCAGATTAAAGCAGATTAAAAGTGTAGTACAAGATAGAAGAGATGGCCCTGATTCAGGCTGAAGATCTGATTGGGTATATCCTGTGGGTCAAAAAAAGCCCTGGTTTTGTCCGAAACTTTCATTGGCTCAATTCCTTGCCAGTCCATAAAACTTTATTTGTATATTAGATTTGGCTGTAAAAGATATATATGTGGGTCAAAAAAGGCCCTGGTTTTGTCCGAAGACCTGATTGGCTTAATCGCCCTTGTCAACCAGTAGAAATATCTTATGTTAGTGCTGGGCTAGCGCCGGGCCTCAGGGGATACTATGTTAGTTTTGGTATTAGCTCTAAAGTCCCGTGAGCCCCCTACACTTTCTCGTTGTTCCTGTGACCAACACCGGATGTGTGTGCTGCATAAGTTGCACTAGGCAATTTGTGAACATCCAGGGAGTCAACCACTCGGGAGTATCCGCCTCCGCAGCAAGCAAAGCACGGAATAGACTAGACGCCACAATCTATTTCATGTTAATAGACGGCATGAACTCCCCGACAGGACAGGGGATAATTACTTACATATATACCTAATGTACGGCAAAACATCGAAGATCATTGCGATTATTTATAGAATAGGATCTACCTTGCACAGCTAGCAGTGAGCATATGTATTGTATTGTAAGAGAGAATGGCTACACACATAAAGAATGGCTACACGCCCACGAGTTACTTGCCTTGTTCGTATAAGCAGAACCGTGGGAAAGATAGCTCGTCTGAGGACTCAATTATTACGTGTCATTTGAACCTCTTTTAGAAACGTACGATGTACGCATCAATCAAGCAAGGAAGCTCAGCTGGTTGGCACGTGTTGACTTACACTAACACAACCAACATCAAATATTTCATGCTCATATTGGGCTTTACCAAACCTTGGCCATTCGCCAACACCTTCCTATGCAAGCGTCCAAGAAACTGACGCTAGCAAACCGTCGATGCTCAATTTCCCGTCTATTCTTACGTGAGAATTCAGGTGATGTTTAATAGACAATAGACGAAGTGCTTAGGCAAATTCTAGCGACTACTTGCCTCACTGTGCTACATCTACAGCGCTTCTTGGCTTCTTAATAGGGCCTAACCTTATGTATGTTCCTATCCTAGGGCACTGTTGTGAGACATGGAGGGGTCCAATGGGGCTTCCTACTTCTCTACTTAGGTATGTAATCCATCATCTTCTGGGGAAGCCGGCCCGTAGTGGATCAGCGCGCCACCCCCACCTTCCTACATCAGTCAAACGCATCATGGATCTGAGCTTTCCGACAGGGTACGCAGGTATCTACCTACCTTAGGTACCTACGTAGAGGTCCATCCGACTTCTGCGCCGAAACCAATCTTCCAATGCCTAACATCATCGAAATTCCAGAATAGCAACATCCAGTAATCTACACCATAACCCCATCGGATTGAGAGCCTCGACACCCTCAAGATGGGGGATACTACACCCAGCAAGCTCGACCATGAAAACCATCTACTGCTTGTGAGTTGCCTATCTAAGTTTCCCTTCTTCCTTGCTCTCCGTGCTCCTCAACCCACGCCGTAACCCCCAAGCGGCCCGGCAGTTCCCCCAGCATATATCATGTGCCCCGAAGTTAATCTCCACCTTTCGTCTCATCATAGGACCAGCCGCTGCTCAGGCTGCCCACGGAGCTCCTACGCAAGAACTTCCGGTCGGCGCACTTCGAGATCGAGCGCAACGCGACGTACATGAAGGACACGCTGAAGGAGACGGCCACGTCGAGCGTCAACGGGTCCTCCACACACGCCGACGTGCTGCGGAACCTCGACTCGATGATCTTGCGGATGCGCGGCGTAAAGCGGAAGCTGACGGCCTTCGCCGACGAGGAGACGAAACTGCACCGCCACCAGGAGGCGCGCGTCGGCCACCTCGGCGACCTGTACTCCATGCACACCGTCGACGACGTTAAATATGAGGCCTGGAGCCGGGTCCGGCTCGACCGGCTACTGGTTGATTATCTCTTGAGGCGGGGGTACAACGAGAGCGCGCGCGCGCTAGCCCGCGAGAAGGGCATCGAGGAACTGGTCGACCTCGACACGTTCGACCAGATGAGCCGCATCCGCAAATCGATATTGAACCGAAGCGTTGCCGAAGCCTTGGCGTGGTGCGCGGCCGGAGATACGAAAAAGGAGTTGCGGAAGATGGATGTAAGAAGTCACCTCCGATTTTCCCCTCCGTGGCCCCCCTTTCTGCATTACCAACGTCGCTGGGATATCCTGTTGACTAACGTTTCGTTGCCGATGTAGAGCAACCTAGAGTTCATGCTCCGCTTTCAGCAGTATATCGAGCTAGTTAGAGACCAGACCACCAAACCCGAGGACGTGCTGGCCCACGCCCGCAAGTTTCTGTTTCCGTACCGGGACGCGTACCACAAAGAGGTGCTGCAGGCGTGCGGGATGCTCGCGCTGCCCCCGGGGCTCTCGGAGAGCGTCGACTCGTACCGGGAGCTGTACTCGCCGGCGCGATGGGAGATGCTGGCGGACCTCTTCGTGTCGACACACAACGCGCTGCTGTCCTTGCCTCCGGTGCCGCTCCTGCACGTGGCGCTGTCGTCGGGCCTCTCCGCCCTCAAGACTCCCGCCTGCCACTCGGCGCACGCGGCGTCTGCGGCGGGCCCGCCCTCGCACTCCACCAGCCTGTCGCTGGCGTCGAGCGTCTGCCCCATCTGCAGCACGGAGCTCAACGAGCTGGCGCGCAGCGTCCCCTACGCCTTCCACAGCAAGAGCCACGTCGAGCCCGACCTGCTCATGCTGCCCAACGGCCGAGCGTACGGCCGCGCCCGGCTCGAGGAGTACGCCCGTAAGGCGGGCCTGCTCGACGGCCAGGTCAAGGATCTTCGGACCGCCGAGATCTTTAGCATGCAGCGCCTGAAGAAGGTTTATATCACCTGATGGGGGTTTACGACACTTCACATCGTGAGCTACGGACTATGGTCCTGACTGTACATTTATAAAGCTCTGGTCTACGGATTTCATTCCGCTGCCGCCGTGGGTATTGTATTCTTCAACGGTTGGCTACTCATTAAGGCAGAGAGGCAAGGGAGAGTATGGGGTCGTCCATTGAAATCGTTACATGTGTATACAACCCTAGACTGTTACTACGACCACCCAGACGGCTTTTTTTTGTTCGGGCGTTTCTTGGATGGCGTGGCGCTGAGGTTATTAAGGGTCTCTTGCTTTCGATGAAGTATTATGTGTCTTCAAGGTTCAAGAGCGATTACACTACTTACATGGGTATTCTAGTGTGTGCTTTAGACCGTGACGATGGAAATTAAACTTGCCAAGTTTTTTTTTAGCTGAATATACCATGAAATTGAATTATCAATATCTCATGGTCTAAAAAAAGGTGAAAAGAGGAACTCCAAATCAGGGAATCCAACCCCGGGCCTAAAACATCTTTACTTTGAGAATGTCAAATGTTAGCCACTACACCAATTTGGACTGCTTCCAGGGGCTGGAATGAATCTATATAATAGGCACACACTGAAGTTAACATTTTAACCAGAGAGGAATAGGAGATTAGGGAAGTTCAGATCGCATTGACTTGTTCGCTATGTGTTCGCGAAACGACCGCATCGTAACCTCAAAACTACTATCTATAGCATATCGAAGTCATAACTAACCCCCGATCCGCGAAAATAGGGACAGAAAAGTTCGTTTTTCTAGTATAGCTCTCTCGACCCTTGGCTCCAGTCCGAACAAGATGTCAAACAGTCGTCCCGATGAAACCCGTTTCCACCCTTTTTGGAATCCGTGTTCTATCCCTTATTCGTTGAGTGTTTAGAAACTCTCGTTCAGTCGTTTGATGAGAGTAGTAGTAGTAATCGTACAGGCATTGCAGTCCCCAGCGCCAAATGCATAGGGGGAAAGGACGAAATAAAATAGAGAGCAAACCGCAATAGGAGATGTTGATACTTTAACAGTCGTTGGCTGCCTGGATTATGACCCACCCACCCGATCCGACCAGTATTCCGAGGTTGGGGAAGGAAGGGAAATTTCCATATTGTGCAGAGAAGAGGATTGACGTAGGCCGAGCTGGGTTTGGTTGGTGGCGTATATAGAATTTACGATCCAGATAGTAAAGAGAAGAGAAAAATACTCGACTCTAGTGTAGCAGATCCTGCCGTTCAACGCCCGAAACTACTTCGCAGGTGAAGAGCCACTACGTCTACTGGAGGAAACTTGAATGCGGCGGAGTCAGGGCTGAATCGGCATGAGTAGGAGACATGGAAGGCGATTCCGTACAAGGAGTGCTCTCGTTGGGGGACGAGGACGGCGGCGAGGTATACACGACAGGCATTCCCGTCGTTGGGTCAATGATGGGAATGCCGGCGCGTCGGACCAGGGGTCTCGGCTTTGAAGGCTGACGTTTGGGAGCCGGGATCGTGATCGGGGCTTTGGAGATGGAGGGTTTCCAAACTCCGGGGGGTTTGGGGACGAAGAAAACCTGTGGATACAGGAGTTGGGGACGGGGGTAGTAGTACCGGGCGCTGGGACCCACCCATTGGCCCGGAGGCCAATGGTACTTCACCGAGTAACGCTTCAGGTGTACCCGGGAGTCAACGGGGTGCGTGCCTAAATAGATACGTTCTACCTTGGGCTGGATGTATACCATATTACGGGTGGGCATGACCTCATCAAGGTACGAGGCGTGGGTGAGAACCAGCTCGGGCTCGACTAGAATCCGGGGTTCAGACGTCATAATCCGTTCCGAGGTATATCTCATTTCTGGCTCGAAAAGCAATGGCTTAAATACACTGGCTCCTGAAGTGCGCTTCACGGAGACCGCATCCAACATACTCTTGGTAATCTCTGGGTACTAACGGGGATTAGAAGGGAAATGGAAGGAGCCGAAAACGCCGCCGCCACCACCCGGTGTCATGGGTCCCATACCCGTCCCGTTCGTGTTGTGTGATTGTGCAGCAGGTGTGCTAGCAAGTCCAGCACTCACAGTGCTGGGTGTCGTAGGTCCGCCGGTTGCATTCCCGTTTGTATTGCCGGGTGTAGCGTCCGTGTTAGTCGGGTTCTGAGCTGTTACCGGCATCTCCATCCCGGAGAAACCAAGACCCCAGACTTTGCCGATATGGTCATCTGAAATATCGCCGTTGTAGATTCGCTCGCGTAGTTGAAAGAAAACCTTTCCTGTTAGGAGACTGTCCGATCCGGCTTGGTGCGCAGCTCCGACTCGCTTGATCTTCAAAGCCTCGGCAATGCTCTCTAATCCTGACTTTTGCTCGAACTTTTGCATGACTTCGGCCGAACCGGGATCTGTCGGAGTAAGGATGCCGCTGCTGTGAAGCTTAACAGCGTACTTCATTAAGTGCTTAACATCGTATGTAGTAGGGAACCACTTCTTCATAACCTTGTCGAACTCGCTCTCGTCATTAGCAAGCTTTTGATCCGTGAGAAGCTTGGTTAAATAACCAAAGTCGTAACCACCATGGAACGAGATCCACTTCACATTATCAAAGCAGACGAATCCGGAGACGATGAAGAGAGCCGCAAACTTCTTAGGATCGATCCCATCACGCTCAAGCAGACTGAAGTCAATACCAGCTTGTTGTAGAGAGTCGATCGAAGCCTGGTTGTACATGTCCTCCTTGAGGGAGTACCGAAAGTTGAATTGCCAAGCAAGCGGCATTTGCGCTTGGCCGGCGTGTCGTCTAGCATTCGGCGCAACGTCATTTCCTGACGCATTTGCGCGCTCAGCAGGCGTCTCGCCCTTCTCGTTGAACAAGCTGATTCCGATCTGGATGACCTTCAGGAGGTCGACGTTGACACGTAGACATTGGTAATGATAGTCACTTTTGCCTCGGAAGTTACCCATCGGACGGCCTACTATGCCGGGAAACTCGGTGTCCTAATGATTTGCGGGTTAGCAACCTCAGCTCACTGGTTTGAGAGTAACATTTTAAGATGGGGTCTTACCATAGCGATATAAGGGAATTCGTCAAGTAGGTTCATCAGAAGAGTCATCTCCTCTTCAAAGTTATGCTTCCAGACCTCGCGTATGCGGGTCTTAGCCGCACTTCCGGTCCGTGCCTGTCGCTCGCTTCCCATGCTGTGGGCTTGTGAGTGAGGATGTTGTTGTTGTTGTTGTTGTTGTTGTTGTTGTTGCTGTAACTGCGCAGCATGCTGGAAGCCGGATCTAGCAGCGTGACTAGCAAAGCCTGTCTGATCTCCAACACCAAAGCCGGTGGCAGCGTTGATACCACCGCCGAGTCCTAGGCCGTTCGCAGCAAAGGGGCTCATTTGCGCATTGCCCAGGTATGCCGCATTGGGGAGTGAGGGCGGTTGGTGAGTGGTCGCATGGCTCTGTGAGGGGTGTGTGGGATACTGGTGCTGGTACGGGGCCATGGCGGGAGGGCCACCGGCAAATCTAGAGGGCGGAGCCATTGAGGCTTCGCTCTCGAGTCGCGCACTCGATTAGATTCTCTTCTTAGATGTTGGTACGGGGAGGGAAGAGGAATCGGTCGACATAGGTAGGGCGACTTGACAACAGCTATGTAGTAGGCGAAGATACCTAGGTATGTCGACTCGTCGGTATGGAGGGCGAATATAGTGGCAGTCTAGGCCATGCCCATGTCGCTGGTTTCGCAGTGTCTATGTGAAGGGCGTGAGTGACTCAAGGGAAGAGGAAGTGGATGTCGTGATTAAGGTGAAAAGCTGTCGTGTTGAACGTTGAACAAGTCCAAGCTTAAAGTTTGGGGATCAGACGCGAAGTTATGGCTTCCTAAGGGACTGCTAGCAATCAGCGTGCCTGACAGCCTGAATGGTCATTGACGGCAATAGACTGGTCCGTGCACCTCACTTTGCGATTGCTTTACATGCAGCTTTTACCATTCACGAGCTGTTATTGGATCGATGGTGGGGAAGTAAATATGCGTATTGCGATGATCTATCCGCGATATGCAACTAACCCGACTTGGAATCATTCAATCTGCGCTATTTCCTAAGGAATCCATTCCGTTGCTGCCGTCACAACTTCATTAATCCATTAACGAGGCACCTTACCTTAGGTACATAGTAGGTCCTAGTTACATACCTAACCTAGGTACGCTCAACCAACCATTGCCAGTGTGATTGTGCTTTCGGAACAATTAGCTCTTCCAAACCTACGACCTCTCCCCTCGTGTGCACACGAACCCACGATACTCACAATGTATCCTTCAAGGTAACGAGAATACATTCTTGCCAGTTGACTGTTAGCACGGAAGGGAAACAATCGATCTGACGATCGGCAGGATACTACGAGCCTACCACGGCGAGAAGCCAAACATCACCGGCTTCGACATCCGGAAATTCGCACACTCGGCGGGCGAGCCCAGATACGACCCGTGGGAGCGAGCGTACGTTATCCCTTCGCAGTCATTCATATCACCCGTCTGGCAGGCTACTGTAGCAATAGCGGCAATTCCATGAAATTTGGAGGAGGGTCTTCTTGAGAGGCAGTACGCTGACATAGATCATACAACAGGGAAGCATGGCGATACAAAGGCCAATTCTCGCGATGGAACCGGTTCAAGGGTGCCTTCCCCGGCCTAGGCATCGCAACCGTAGCCTTCGTCATCTACCTTGGATACGAGCAATTATTCCTTAAAGATGAGCACCACGGAGACGGTCATGGAGAAGGCCACCACTGATTGAGAAGAGAACTATACTTGGAGAGATGTTCGACAAGGACATTGTACCTATATCCGACCGACCCAAGCCTACCGTAAAGATGGGATTGGGAGGACAGCAGCCAGCAATATGGTCATGATCAAATTTGTTTTCTTTAAAGACCTACTACCTAGAGTAGAAATTGTGTTTGCATTCTGAAGTGCAGATGATGGTTGTCAAATCATGGGAGGAATCATGGGAGGGTGTAAGCTACCAGACTAGACCCGGCATTTCGCAAAACACAGCTCCCAAATCGTGTTTAGTAGGACCTCAGACTCAGATAACTCGACTATCTTAAGAGTCATGTCATAGTAAATTGTAGGTTTCAATTGATATTCACAGTTCTATGCCTATGCCTTTGCCTATGCCTGCCGGCCTATTCTCTGGATGATGAGCCATTCCAATATGCAAAGTGTACCGTACCGGTTGATAAAATGACATATGCCATGCCCTTCCATAGCTTTCTTCCATCCACTCCTCACTACCTAACATAACCATCACATAGAGATATTTCCATCTGATCCGACCATATCTTATAATAGTCACGGCAGTCTAATCCCATTCACCACATCCAGCGCGTCCTCCACCACCACCTCCAGCTGCGCGACGCGGTGCTTCAGGCTCCTATTCTCGTCGCGTAGAAGACTCACCGTGTCCCACGCCACGGTCGAATCCTGGCCCCTACAGTTGGTGCACCCGTCCTCGCCGGAAATGCCCTTGACCAACTTCTGGAACGTCGTCAGCCGCTGGAGCTGGTGCTGCTGCTGGTGCTGCTGGGG